TACTTACTTTCCATTTTATACAAACTAGGGTCTAGTTCCACCAGCTATTTTAATCTTACAGATCAAGTCCTCTTAATAAATGTATGCCTTAACTGCCTCATCTATAAAATGGGGACAGTAATATTTACCTCTATAGTACAGCACTGCATGAGACCTTTTGATGCAAAATTCCAGATAAGAGCTAGATATTATTATATGTTAAAAATTAAATCAATCTAGAATAAACTGGTACAAATGCTTAATGTAGATGCACTTAAACTAGTTTAAAACATATTTAAACTTGTTTATCTTAATTTGGTAATTTACCAACATGCTAATCCAAATTAAGTGAGAGTTAAATCAGATTAAGTGTATCTAGATTTGGGGGTTGCACGAGTTTAACAAGATTGATTTAAAATCAATTGAGTTAAACCAGCACAACTTTTCTCTCAGGCTACGTCTACACTGCAGAGCTTTTTTGGGATACCTCCAACGTCCCTGTAAACCTTAATGCATGAGAGTTAAGGGACATTATGCAATAGCAATTTATTTTAAAATTTGGCGCTGTGTAGATAGTGCCAAATTTTAAAATAAGCTATTTTGAAATTACCTCAAAATAAACTATGCACAAATTGCGTAGCACAATTTGCACAGCACAAATTGTGTAGCTTATTTTTGAGGTAAGGGTGCTGTTTAGACACACCCTCAGAGACTAGGTTTAAAAGATATAAAGGTTTTCAAATTTTATTCTGAGTTGTTTAAACACCAACTTTTTTTTTAACATTTACTACAATTTAAATATGAAAAATAGTTACTGAATATGTTATAGGCAATTAGGGTGACTTTAATTCATTTGCAGAACCCAAGGAATAACCTGTGTTGAAATGGAGGATTCAGCCCCCTTTTCCGTGGTTTCCATTGCAAAGCAATTTGTAAGCAGTTTAGTGATCTGTAGTTATGAAACTGGTACATTTTATTTCTGTGTCTACTGGACTTGCAAAAAATTCAAAAAGCTCTCTGTATGCAGGGCTCAACAGTTATTTTGTTCTTAGAAGTTGGTGTGCTCTTTATCCAAGAAAACATACAAACACTCTGCTCTCTCTCATGAAGATTTTTTTCTTGTACTTTTCCTTAATCTAAAAAAAAATAATCTTAGAGTGATAGTATGTATTTTCCACTGTGGTTTATGGATGATAAACAGTACATACTATTAAGACAACTATCCCAGCTGGACCTCGCCTCTTGAAATGTGCAACTGCTTTTGCTCTGGGAGTACATCTACACAGTGGCACTATTTTGGGATAACGTCCATTATCCTGAAATAGCATTCTGCACTGTCTACACAAGAAGCCCGTTATTTATTTTGAAATACATTTGAAATAATGGACTTCTTATTTCAGCTTCCTGTAAACCTTATTGCACAAGATTTAAGGAGGCCACTGGAACAGCAATTTATTTTGAAATGCAGCTCTTTGTGGACAGTGCCAAATTTTGAAATAAGCTATTTCTTAATAAGCTACACAATTTGCGTAGCTCAAATTGGGTAGCTTATTTAGAGGTACGCACTGCAGTGTAGACATACCCTGGGAGTTTGGTGAACAAAAATTTCACAGTCCTGTTAAGGTCATAGTTTGAAGTAAAATAGTGTTAGTAATAAACATTGCACCCACATAACCATGGATGTCATCAGTTGATCCAATAAAGAAAACAACTGTAAACTTAAAAAGGGAACCATTTTATTCCTGCCCTTGTCACCACATGCACTGGAAAGGAACCATACAGGCCCCTTTTTTAGCTAGTAATGTCTAATGTAGTAAGACAGGAATAAGCAGAGTAGAAAGCACCTGTCAGCTCTATTTCCCACTCTCCTTGATTAGCATGAAACATTAATAGGGCTCTCAAAAATTCTGGTCTGAAATGGGCTTTGCCTGAAATCATGTCTGTCTTTACTGCACAAAAGCCGCTGTCATTAAAAAAAGGGCAGCTAACTAAAGAAGACTCTTTCTTGAAATTTATACCATTTTTTTCATACAATGACAAATTATTTTAATAATAGGAATTGCACACGCTGCCATTTGTATAATGTTTCCCATAAAATTCCCCCATTAAATTTGCTCCTCTACTTGACTCATCTCTTTTTTTTTAAAAAAAATGACACATGCAAAATGATACATCATGCTTTCTTACAAAGAATTGAAAATGAACATACTGTAATGGGTTAACATACGTTTTAATAAAATTTTCATTGTTGCACATTTCACTTTTCGGTACTGAGAGCCAGGGCTGTATCAGTAACCTCAGGCGATGCCTAAGGATAAAACAAATCATGTGATAGTGAACTATTTTCACCTATTTATCCTTCTACTGAAAATATATTCATAAATACAAAATGAAGCTAAGATATGTAGCCAGTAAAACTGTACATAACAAAGATATTCCCTTGTGTTGCTATTCTATTGTTTTTTATAATATACTTTCTAGGTTTCTAAAATCCTTGAGCTTATATTTTTTATTTCTTATGTAAGTAGTATGTAACTGAGCCACTTAAATTTTTTTCCCCAAAATTACCCATAACAAATAATTTAACCTCTATAATTAAAAAAAAAATCTTTGTACACAACATGTTGTGAGGTTTAAAACTTAAACAGATGCATACATATGTTTGGCTAATCTAGAAGGTGGAGTATTCAGATGCTTTGGGTTATATAGAGCTATTTATATGTAGAGATCTATTAGTTTGAAAGGATATATACCATTGAACTTGTCCCTTATATGCATCGACTAGCACATTAAATGTTTGTTGAATAGATTTACTTGGAGAACATAAACACTGAAAGAAATGCCTGGATACAAAATTTGCTAGAGAGCTACTGTCATGTTTTTTAAATAATACATCTACCATAAAAATATGGAAATTATTAACATTTCACTATAATATACTTTAAATAGTACAAAGCCATTAAATAAAGCTATTTGCAGATACATTTAATCAAGTATGTTTTTAAGTTAATTATAGTTTATTGCCTGTCTACAGAGTTTTGAAGGTGAAATCATACACTAAGAAGAAATGAATGGTTGCACTTACTGCATATTGGGCAGGAAAATCTCAGGCTTTTCAATAACATGTGAAATCTAAAAATACTGAGCTCTATCTCTTTCTCGATCCACTGAAAAGCTGTTTCATCTCAATAGCCTATAAGGACAGTACTGAAAAAATATATTTAAAATAACAACAAAAAAACAGGAAGTGGAATGCAAGCACATAGTTTCTGCAAACTTTTGCAAGGAAGCAAAAGGACTAAACAAACAAGTAAATAAGTTTCCAATGAACTAGTAAGTTGGAGACAATTTGGTCTTACTAGTATGGAACCTTCCTCAGTATATAGGGACATAGGGGAATATGGGATGAGTAAAACTTTGAACTCATCATTTTTTTACTGATCAATATTTTTCTTTAGGAATGAAAAAATACCCATCGAGATCATATATTTCACACTTAACAGTTTTTGGCTGCTATTTTTTCAGAATA